TAAAGAAAAAGAAGCATCAAGAAGAAAAATCTCTTGTCATTAAAAAATCATTAATATAACGTTTATTTATATACAGTGTGTTTTCTTAATATTGCAAAAAATTGCGCACATATTCTACATCAAGAAATACCACTAATAAAAAAATAAAATAAAAATCAATAAAAAAAATATCCAGTGAAAAAAAGCAAAGATTTTATTCATTTAAAACAAATTTTACTTTTCAGCAGCATATAAAATCGTATACTATAAAAGAACTGGTTCAAAAAAATTATATACGTAAAAATAGTATATTATGTAATTAGGAGTAAATATGACAGTTTATGTGCTGAAGCTAAAACGTTTATTATGCATACGTTTTTCCTTTTTTTTATTTTCTAAATTTTGACCAGACCATATCCAAAATAAATAATGTTTCAGTATGTAAAATGTTTCGGGGACTCGATTGGCTTCGAGAAAACCACATATTTCCAATAGTTTAGAAGTTTCAGTCGAGTTTAAGATATTTTTGACTTTATCAGCCATTTTCTCAATAGCTATTTATTGTAAGACAATGAACTTTCCTTTGTATCATAGAAAATTAAATTTGCCTTCCAACGGTGCCAAACATAAAAGACTAGCGCCAATAATTCGGGAATTATTGGTAATAGTACCTAAAATCCACCAACATTTTTTCAAAAATTTAAAAATTGCAAACTTCAAAATTGATCAAAATGCAATTAAGGGGGTCTAGAAGTGCATAAAACGTCGTAAAAACACAAAAATTAAAGATTTTAAATTTTTTTATATGAATATATTAGAGTACAGCTGAATAGCATATCGGGACCGTGGTGGCGCTACTTCCGGCAGGTAGGTCTCGGGTTCGAATCCCGCAAAAGTCGACAATTTTTCTCCATTTCAAATTCAAATACTAATTCAAATAAGCGTTAAAAGATGGCGGGCGCATAAGAGCGCGAAATTTAAAACATGTACGTACTTAAAAGCGGCCTAATCGGCATAAGTATAAGAGCGGCATAGAGATAAAAGRGGCATAAGCYTAAGAGCGGCATACTTAAGCATAAGAGCGGCAAAAYRATGAGAGCTTTTTTACCGTAAAATATCAAAACACCAAATTTTGTATTTTTCAATTAGCATAATAAGAGAGCATGAGCGCATGAGAGTAAATAATAGAGCATAAGAGCAAAGCATAAAAGCGCATGAGCATAAAAACTTAAGAGATTTTTAATCATAAAATGTCTAAATTTAAAGTAAAATTTTGTTTATAATTTATGTTATAGAGCATAAAAATTTAAAATTAAATTCTTTTTATCCCATGTCCCCAGTTTAAAACGCTCCTGGTTAAAATTTCCAACATTTGATCTTTGAATTTGTTTAGGTGTAAAAAGGATATCAGCTGTACCAAAATTTGTAATTTTATCGATTCTAAAGTATTAAAAAAAGCATTAAAAAAGCACTCCTTTCAGGAGGCGTAGCTCCTTTACATAGTTATTTTTCGAGATAAGTTCATAGGAAACTTTTGTCTTAAAATTGAAAATTTTATCATCTTTTTAAACTTGTAACAGTAAAAACGGAACATCCTGTATTCAAAATGAATAATGTTTTAAACTATGCATATGTAAAATGTTCCGAGGCGTCGATTGGCGTTGAGAAAGCTGCAAAATTCGCAATGGTTTAGAAGTTATAGTCTAGTTTATACATATTTAGAATATTTTTGACTTTATCAGCAATTTTCTCGATAGCTATTTATTGTAAGACAATAAATTTTCTAGAGTATGATAGAAAATTAAATTTATTTTCCAACGGAGTCAAACATAAAAYGCTAGCGCCAATAATTCCAGAGTTATTGGCAATAGATCGCTCTAAATACCGAAAATCTACCAAAATTTTGTCAAAAATTTAAAAATTAAAAACTTCAAAATTGATCGAAGTGCAATTAAAGGGGTCTAGAAGTGCATAAAACGTCGTAAAAACACAAAAATTAAAGATTAAAATTTTTTTTTCGATAGGTAGGTCTCGGGTTCGAATCCCGCAAAAGTCGACAATTTTTCTCTAATTCAAATTCAAATACTAATTCAAATATGCGTTAAAAGATGGCGGGCGCATAAGAGCGCGAAATTTAAAACATGGACGTAGAATGGAAAGCTTAAAAGCGGCATAAGAATAAGAGCGGCATAACTATAAGAGCGGCATATAAGCATAAGAGCGGCATAAGCATAAAAGCATGAGAGCTTTTTTACTGTCAAATATCAAAACACCAAATTTTGTTTTTTTCAATTAGCATAATAAGAGAGCATGAGCGCATAAGAGAGCATAAGAGCGCATAAGCATGAGAGCTTTTTAATCGTAAAGTTTCAAGTAAAATTTTGTATCTTAATTTTTTTAATCCTATTATCGACTAAAATCTAGACAAAAATAAAAAATTAAAAACTTTAAAATTGCACGAAATAACATTTTTTAAATTTCTAGAGGTCCTAAATAAATGTTTTAAATGTTGGCGAGTGGTTTTAGCATATTAGTCGCAAGATAAAATTGACTTAACCCTTAATAGAAGCGAGGGTTTTATGGAGTGGCCATCATTTAATTATCTATGTCAACAGGGGCTCGACCTGGGAACTGGATTCGGTTACACATATTACCACTTCAAGGAAGGGTGGTCTTGTTTTTGTCTAAAACAGGGCTTTACTTGGTAATGGCCAATTTAGACCATTATACCACTTTGTAATGCGACGCTAATTACCAAAATAAACAATTTGTTGCGACGGTAAACTGAGAATAAATATACCAAGCATCAACGAGTAAAAAAATTTCTTTATTTTTTTAGTTGCTATATCAAAAAAATGTAGTTTTGGAAAAAAGTAAATTAAAAAAAATCATAACAAAGAAAACCCCATTTTTGTAATGATTTATTTATAAATTGTCAGTTTTTTGCTTAATTTTGAGTTGTTGTTACATTTTTTCACTATTAGGAAATACTGTTTGCCTAAAACTTTGCTACTTCGATCAAGTCTTTGTCAGTTTTCCCGTCGAAAGTTTTTCTTATAATAGAAGTAATTTCTAAATAGAAAAGACTTTGTTATAGTCAACAGCAGACACGAGGTGTTGGGCCAATTACTGTAATGAGTGGATGACTTGTACAAACAAATAATGTACGCCAATCTATTGTCCACAACTCCCCTAACTTTTATTCCAGCAGGACCTGATTTGTGATCTTTCAGCCGTCCTGAAACCACTATAAAAATGAAATTTATTTTGTAACACAATTAAGTTATTTCAACTAATTAACTCAAGTCAATCGAAAAGTTGATTTCATTGATTTTAATCAAGAAATGTTGTGATTTGGGCTTGAAAATTTGTCGATACTTCTCTGTTCAGCTAGATCAAAGACCAGTTTAGGGTTGACACTGTTTACTTTAACAATTTGATGTCATTGTGGCTCTGTTACCAGTTTCATTAAGTAATTGTTACAACATTTTGAAAATTAATTTTTTCAGTAAAGTCTATTGACTTTATTTAAGAAAGTGTGCGATGTGGTTTATTTCAGTTAATAAAATAAATGATGGATCACCAGTTTGATTTTAGGTAAATATTAGCTTTTCTAATCGGAAATCAATTTACAAATTGAAAGCTGAAATTCAGACGATGAAGTTCACTTCATTCTTAACCGACGAAATGTCATTTTGTGCTAAGAAATTGTCTTATTTCCTGCAGTAAATTTATATAGGGAGGCTGCTCTTTTCAGGTGGAGTGGCGTAGAATTCAAGCGGTGGCGAAATATTAAACCGTCTATTTTAAAATTGATTTGAATTGATAAAAAGTAAAAAAACATTTACTACTAATTTCTAACGTTATGCAGAGTTACTGAAAATATAAAAAAGTAGTAAATACTTCACGCATAAAACGATGTGAAAGTTACTTCATACAAATAGTAAATCATGTTATTAGAAGCAAAAATACTAGTTTATGTGACAATTTAAATAATTTAAATTTAAATAATTCAAAGTGGATGACTAGTGCAGTTAGTAGGGCAAAATATCTAATGCTGATGAACTACAATGCACCTCCTGTTAAAGCAGCGAAAAAGACAAGAAAGAAATAACATTGGTAAATGTCAATAATGTCATAGTAAAAGTAAAAATAACATTTTTAATTCATGGCTGAAAGGTAAAATTTTTACTAAAATTTAGTCATAAAAGTGGTCATTTTTGTTACGTTTGTGAATAAACACATTTACAAGACAATAATTACAACCATGCTGTTTAAAAAAGCATCAAATTATTACACATTTTTACAGTTATGAAGCAAAAAAGTTATTCTTGCAAAAAGTTGAATCAAATTGCTGTTTGCATTAGATTAACTTACATTTTTTATTCATTTAATTTGTTCAAAATTTAAAAACAATTATTGTTAATTGCTACAAATTTTACAATAAAATCTACAAAACAACACTTAATATATTAGACTAGCTTTGGATATTGTCAGGTAAGAAAATAGTTCTAGGATACCAATAAATAAAATTTGAATATTTACGAAAATTCGAGTATATTAATCCGAAATTGCTTGCTATATCTTTATAGTTTATAGTGACAAATTTTCGAACAGTTTGGTGTTATTAGTATTGATAATTTTTGCGGTAAACTTACAAATTTAGACTCGAAAAATATTTGAAAAAACAAGTAATAGAGTTTTTATTTAAAAAAGTAAAAAAATATAATAATAATTAATAATATTCATTAAAATTGACATTTGCAAAAAAAGTCTTTTGTGATTTAATAAAAACAAAATAGATAGAACCAACCATTTATTTATGACCCTTTGTACTAAACCCAATTAAAAAGTAATCTAAGGTTATGAATAATTCTTATTACAATATTTGAACAAGAATGAAATTTTCTTTAATTTTAAATTTAAGTTGTGAAATAATAATAAAACAAAATAAAAATAAATAATAAATAACAAATAATAAAGTAAACTTACAAAATTGCTGCTATTACTTAAGTGAAAAAATAAAATAAAAATAAATTTCTTTTACTGTTTTGTTTAAGTGTTTAGTACGTTTACTGATTAACAATTTAATGCTATAAAACATAATGATATATTAATGTGTTGATTTTGTATTTATTTAGTTTTTTTTAGTTGAAAAAGTCAACAATTTTTTTTCTGCTTTGAGCACCTTTAACTTAAATTAAAAAAAATTATCCACACTCTCATGAACTACGACACAGTTGAAACATATTTTTTACATTTTTGTGGTTTCCTTTAAAATAAATAAAAAAGTACAAAAAAACAACGCTAATTAATCAGCAAAGTATTATATTTATTTATATAATAATAGTTATTTATTTTATAAGACAATGAAATTAATTCTCGAAAAAATAAATAATCAACAATTTTATCAATCTTCACCGTTTTTAATTAATTCTTTGACGTCAAAATATCAAAAAATTTTGGAAATTATTTATAGTATAATTTTGATAAACAAGTATTCTTTTATCGTCTAAACGATAAAATTGTGTTCTAATAACATGCAGTAAAGAGTAGATAAAATGCAATTTTAATATTAAAGATTGAATAAAAAACATTAATCAACAGTTTTTATAAAAAAAACTTGAAATAGTTCAAGAAAGTAACAAATATTGTATAATAATATAAAATGCTTTTGGAAAAAATTAGCCCGGCGCATCCACCAAAAAGCCTTTTAAATGTTTCATACTATGTAAAAAAAATCTGTAAGAAAAACCAAACTGTTACTTACGAGTCTACTCAATTCACTAACTGCAGTTGGAACTTCTTGGTCCTGGTTCATCCCTCTCGACCTTAAGTGGTGGAACCCGTAACCATGACTCACAAAATTGTTTAACAAAATAAATAATTCTCAGACCACTGACTGTGTAAATTTAAAATTTTGAATAGAAACTTAAATTAAACGGTAATTCATTCAAGGGAGTCTTGTGAACTAGTAAATTGCCGAAAGGATTTCAACTGCAAGCGGTGATGACAGGAAATATGATGTACTTGTAAAAGCTGAAAGCTCCTAGTACCTGCCGAAGTGGAGGGAGCTGAAGACACGCCCGTTGTGTCTGAAACGCCCCTCTGAGATCTCACATGCATATAAAATAATGAATTATTTAAAAATTTTCATAGATAATTCATTAGCTTGAGAAATTTCGCTTCGTGAAAATCACCATTCACCAAAAAGCTCAAAACGTGTTTCACTTCATTAGTATTGATTTAATCAGTGCTTTGATTCTTGAATTGTGTTTATTAAAGGATAAAAAATTTGCTTCTTTCAGATTATTCCTCACCGTGAAAATCAATTCCTTCGTATTTTCAGTGACGTTGAATGCAACTGCATATTTTTCGTGCCGGACAAATGCAAAATAAATAAATGAAAACGTTGTGCAGAATTGTAGTGAGTCCCGGAATAGTCCGGGAGTAACAGCAGGAATGGATGCGCACAATCAAATAGAATACCGGAAGTCCGATTGGCCCGCAGGGGGTCCGGTAGCGCCAATAACAGGTAACTCCGCCTTCCGGTTTCCAATATTGGTCTAGTTTACATTCATAACTTATATTACGTGCGGTGGAAATGGATTTTAAACTGTTAGAAATATGTTTGTGACCATTGACCAAATGATAGAAATAACATTATCGATTTTACTCTCGTGAAAACGGTTGGTTAAGAGAGCAAATATGGATTAGAAGAGATAAATCTAAGAGATAAATCTAAAAAGACAACTTTGCTTTCTGCTGTCCTCTTTCAAACAATTTTCAATTAGAAAGAATTTATTTTTTCTTTATTTATTTTTGAAAATTTTTTAGAAATTCATTGTTTTCCGTAATAACACAAAACCTTTGTTGTTAAAATGTGATGTAAATGAAACATTATTATGTCAAATTATGAAGCATAAATTGCAATAAAATAAGTAATATTTAAGAAATGAAACATATTTACTTTGTTAAAATGAAACAAAGAAAATTTTCAGCTTCAAATTCGACGCCCATGCCATTTATAAGCCAAGTATGAAATACTTATAAATAATACATTTTAGATTTGTTGATGTTATTATGAAATGTACAATTAAATTACACAAAATAAATAATTTTCTAAAAAAAATCGTATACATAATACAAATCGTGGCACAATATAAAATAATAACGTTCTTGATATTTGATTCTAGCAGAGTTTCTAATTATTTCAAGAATTAAACACATAAATTATAGTTTATTTCCAGAAATCGTTTTGTAATTTCCGACTCTGTTTCGGTAAGATTTCTTAAATTCGGAGATTTTCTCATTTAAAAGCTTTCCTAAATTTGTAGAAAATATACACATTTCGATCTAATTTTCCAATTTTTATTTGTTTTGTAAATTTTGTCGCATTGATTAAGTTCCTTGAAGGAAAATGCACTAAATTAATCTGATTATTCAAAAACAATGGCATTTTAAAGCTGATTTTACAATTTCATGCCTTGTTTTGCCAAAATTTCTCAAATTTTGTGAGTCTCTCGGTGAAAAGAGCTCTTAAATCCTTAGAACATTAACACATTTTTGGTGTAATTTGGCAATTTCTTGATTTGTCATTTTTTTTGTCTTTATTAAGTTTTTCGGCAGAAAATGTGCTAAATCCACAAAATAAGTGACGAAAATAATGGCGTTTATTTGTTTGGAGAAAATATTCCAATTTTTTTCGATTTTCTTAGTGAAAAATTCTCCTAAATTCATATTTTATTCTGACAAGAAAAAGTTTTAAAGAAAACCATCTATAAAAACAATGAAAATTGCGCATTTCTAAGGCTAATTTATCAACGTTCTGCTTAAATCCATAAAAATAACGCTTAATAAACTAATTGATTTATTAGTATTAATCAAATAAAAACTTGAATCATTAGTAAATTCTGCAGTTGCAAGTGTTTTGGGCTACAATTGTTTATTTGTGCTTATTAGGCTCCGACATATTGAACCTCCTTCACATTTTTTTAATGTTTCTAATATTGCCAAAAGAAAAGTTTAATAAATAATAAAGTCTAATAAGTTTTTTTATGTTTTCAACAAAAGTTTTTATTTTTAGAAAAGTTCGAGTTGCAAACACATTTTTGTTTTAAACAAATTTCAAAATTTTATTTTGAAAAAGTATTTTAAAAAATAGTAACGTAGAATTGGGTAATATTCAAATTACTTTATAACATGACAAATGGGTGGGATTACGTACGCAGCCCCAAACAAAAACCTTTTACACCGGAACTGTTACGAAATGAGTTTTTGTGCCGTTTTTAAGAATTGTTACAATAACGTATCAGTCTTAGCCAAACTGCCGTACGAGTCATTTGTCAGGATAAATGATTACTTAATATTTCATAGTTCAGTCCAAAATTGTGTAGAAATGGGGGCTGTATTATCACTGCGTGCGTGTTGGGTACTTTCGAGTGCCTAATAGACATTTAGTAAAAATTTCGAGTGATTAGTGAGTGCCAATGAGAGAATGAAAAAGACAATCGTGCTACAAAGATCCGGATTAAAGGCTAAGTCAAGAATAAGTTTTATTTTTTTAGAGAAATTACATTTAAATTTTATTTAATATTTTCAACTAATTTAATGACACATTGAACTGATTTTGTGTTTCTTTATTTTCAGTAAGTCCGTTTAAGAAGCAGAGGCGAATTGCTACAAAGAGTAGCAGAAGAAGATGCCATAAAGGTTAGTGCATTTTTTATTTTTTCTTTGTTTATCGCAAAGTCAAGTGTGTAAATTTGTGTGTGATTTTTGAATGCAACAGTAAGTATTTTGTAATAATAAATAAAAATTAATTGTTTTTAGATTAAAATACATTATTTCTTAAATTTTCTTTAAAAATTTATACAAGGTGATAAGTACAAATTTAATTTATACTTTTTACAAATTAAAAAAACATCGACAAGAACAAGACTAAGTATTGTATAATTTTTTTTTAGAATAGTTGATTTTTGTTTTGTTTCAGAAACTTCAGTGACCAGTGAGTGCGTGTGTGTATTTTCGAGTGCTAATAGACATTTAGTAGTGCGTGATTTTTAAAATTTCGAGTGATTTGTGAGTGCCAATGGGTGGAGTCTTTGGAGAAATGGACAAGACAATCGTGCTACAAGGATCTGGATTAAAGGGTAAGTCAACAATAACTTTTTTTTTTAGAAAAATCACATTTAAATTTTATTTAATATTTTCAACTAATTTAATAACGCATGAAACTGATTTTGTTTTTCTTTATTTTCAGTAGGTCCGTTTAAGAAGCAGAGGCGAATTGCTACAGAAGAAGATGCCATATAAGGTCAGTGCACTTTAGTTTTTAATTTGTTTTTTTATCGAAAAGTGAATTATTTGTGTTTTAATTTTTAACATTTCTTCTCTCATGCTCCTCGTGTTTTATATAATAATGAACTAAAAAGTTGCTCAGGAAACTATCAGATATAAAATCCCATCACATTAAATAACATAATAAATTTATATCTTTTCTTAAAAAATGAATACTTACCTATTTCAATGTCCCAAAAATCTTAGTATCTTGTTGCCATTTTATCAATACCACACAAAAAGTAAGTATTCTGGTTTGTATTTAAAGTTGAAATAATACATAAATAATAATTACATTATTTAAAATAATAAAAATTGTATTATTTTTTTGTTAAAATCAATCCATTTCAAGTTCTCTATTCTAGATACATACAATCAAGAGTTATTTTTGGAAGTTTTCTTATGATTTTACACTTTTCACAAATTTTGGTACCAGTACCAACAAAACTTGCTTCCCAGAAACATTAACCGGTTAATTTAAAAACATTAATTAAATTAAAATAAATAAATTTATAACATTTGAAAAAGTATGTAGGGACACTTACAAACATCACGCGTCAATATCGGAATTTGTATTGAGGTTTTCGAAAGTGTTTATTAATTAAACTAGAGGATGACTAGTGCAGTTAGTAGTAAAAAAATTAAATTGTCACTCCATCGCTGGAAGTTGAAACTTTTACTTGTAACATTTAGTCATAAAAGTGGTCTCTTTTGTGACGTTTGCGTTTAAATATAAATTTCTTATATTGTAAACATGTTTATTTCATTAACTGATAAATACATAGCTGAATACAAATCAATGTATATTATTCCGTTTTAATAAAATAATTACTGGAAAATTCATTTACAAAAATAAGTCTTATTAGCCCATGAAGTAAGTAAAATAGAATCTCAGTTAAAATCGTCTGTGATGTGTTAAAATTTGCTTAAACCTAGTAAATGAATTTTCCTCGAATTAGTTTTGATGTTAATTTATAACTTCACTCTCAATCCTTTCGTGACTGATATGATTAATCTTGCATCTCACAAATCACGTTATAAAAAACATCATTAACCTAATTTATGGCAAGACGTTAGTTAATAAATTTGTACTAAATCTGGGAAACTATTTATTTATAATAAACAACAATATTATTAGTAATTAAGCTTAAGCACTTGACTGCCTGACATTATTACAACTGCAGTAACATTTCCATAAAAATCAGTCGCACTTCCGATTCAGCAATGTATAAATAATCACAGCTAGGCATACACTTTAATATCTTATACTGCTCATAATACTTCCTCGACAGTAGTGGTATACTAACACATTGCATTAAATGCACCAATATTGAAACAGAGATCAACAAAATGAAAGAAAAACACACTTTGCTACACAGCTACAGAATTGATCGAGTTATCTGAACTGTTGGTAGGGGGCGTTTCCAACGTCGCTATCCTCTGTTGGAGACTCTGGACTTGGAGGTTGTGCTTCTCCACCATTGCCAACATCTGATGCTCCATTTTCTTAAACTTGGATTGATATTTCTTGCTGTTTCTATCTACAGTTTCCGCTAAAATACTATTAG